ATCTTGTTACCTTGGCCTGTCCGATTGTGCTCCCGAGCTTAAGACTACCCTCTGGGGTTGCGCCCCTTACACTAGGGTCGCTAGCGACCCTGTGCACCAGCACACTATCTGCGAGATACCTTATAATTGACTCTCTGTTTGTAGTTTATTGACAGTGAAGGCCGTTTCCAGACGAGTGTGCTTTATGAAGAGGGACACAGTCGCTGCATTGTCTTTGCGGTTATAAGGATAAGCAGGGCATTGGCTTAATATAAATGTTGAAGAAAGCCGAGCGTATCCTGAAGTTGATGTTGTAGCTGAAGAGAATAACGGAGACTTTCTATATGTCGAGGAGTCATTCCTGTTGTTATACTCACGATCTTTGGAGGAATTAGCAGGGTCGAAGAGTGGTAAAGCTATCAGACGTGCATATAGTTTCTGCATAAACGGGAAGTTAATGCGGAGGGCTGCGTTCTAGAAAGAAATTTAAAAAGTTTATAGAAATGCCTTTTGAAGTTTATCCTCCCGCCCTCTTGCCTAAGTGGCGTAAGCTACTATGCTAATCTTCGGCGGTGAAGAGCGTGCTGCTGTAGCCTACAATACCCTAGAAACTATTCTCTGAGGACAACACACTCTAGAGCACCTTTAACGCGACTGTAGGCTCAGCTATAAGCGTAAAAGAAAAGTAACCTCGAAGAGGACACAACTACTCCGCGTACAATAGTGAAAACTCAGCGAGGATTACCCTAGGGGGGACGGCGGGCGAGATATATTCAATAGAATACACTAAAAATATAGAAAGAAGACTAAGGGTCTGTTTGGTTCCGTCTTTATTTACTGTTTGTAATACTGGATTAGGGCTCCGTCTAGAAAGCAGAGCTGGAAATGGCTTTGTGTTAGTAAAACGAAGATTTAGCCGTTACTAACTTGCGCTGATAGAAAAAGCTATGTCTATTGTTTACGTGCTTTATGCTTTCGTTTCTTTCAGCAAAACGGAGCTCCGTTTTGCTGCCTTGTTGGTAACTTTTCGTGAAGGTAGCCCATCACGTGACTCGAACAGAGATGAGATGAAAATCAGCCGAACAGCCCATCCCCCTCCCTGTCGAAGCTCTCAGCCTAGAACGTAAATTGGACGGAGACGGCAAATGGAGCAAAAGAACAGTCCCTAACAAGAACCAGATGAACAGGCTTACTTAGCGTAATGTTGAGTTGAGTTGTGTAAGCGCTAGAGCCGTCTGTACTTTCGTACAAAGAGAGAAGCCGTCAGTACGATAGTGTGTTGGTCTTGGCAACATCGACCCCGCCCACATCATTCCGTTCATCGTGCAGACACATCGTCGAAATGAGGCCACATGGAGTACGTTGCCAGATATCTTCTTATAGTGTACATAACTGAGAAACGGTAGGTTTTGTGTGTGTACCAAGAATACCCAACCGTCATTTGCCCTCGCCGTAATGGTTCATGGTCAAGTTTGGCATAATTATATGTCGTAATGGTACATGCAACACTCTTCTGCACATAGGAAGGCTGACCAGACAAGCCGGAACATCCCATAAGATTAGAAGACTCTTCTCCGTTTGTCACCTCCGATTAAGTTTTTGAAACTTTGCACATTCCTTACGTCATGAGTGTTCTTCCCGCCCATCAAGTGGAGAGAGGTGCTTAGTATGTAAGGGTACCGCGGAATAGTCATCTGCTGGCATACAAAAAGGTACCGAAAGGTGCCGGAGGTTCGGTGTACCCCTGCAAGCCGCTGACGTTACTGAAGATGTTTTTTGTCTCCATATTGGCATCTTGCGCGACAAGATTGGCCGAAGTTCCGAGGTGTATGTAAGCTTCTTCAGGCAGTTCAGTTCATCTGCCTGGTCGCCCACAAATATCCATTACACTAGGGAACGCGTGAAAGCGTACATAGCACATATATTGTTGAATATTATGTGCTAATAAAATCTACCCCAGGATCCTGAACCTATATACGTAATGCTAGCGCATAGAGTAGCAGTGGTAGTCCCGGATGTGGCTGGACATACATAAGCATGTCCTGACATCCATCCCGTAAAGAAAGCGCGGCAAAAACTCGACTTTGTGAGAGAGGTCTGCAGTGATTTCCGCAAATTTTGTTTAAAATTAACATGCTAATTATAGACTCAACAGATATTGCGAAGAAGAAGCAGGGAAGCAAACCATCAAAGTTTGTATATTTCCCTACACACACCGTAATCCTGATCAGGAACTGCACCGCAAATCGACAGTGAGATTGGGATTACAAAAGGACCGATGTAGCTTGGCTTTTCAACCTTAAACCAGCCGTCGGGAAGCTGACCAAAGCACCACCGGTGAGACTTTTGTAACTAAATGAGGTAATAGAAAGTACAAATTCAGACAGTAGTCCACATTTCATGCGAGCGGATAAAAAAACTAGAAAGAGAGTGGATACCAATAATTGCAAAGCAAAGTTTCTACAATGAGGATGCCTGTAGACATGGCCTGAGGATTGCTAAGAGGTTGCTATGAACTAGCGTAGCTCATACATACGTACTCCTTGTCAGCTTACATACTTACTTACTGACGATCACCATTTTCACCAAAAGGCACCACCAAATCGGCAGAACACTGATGCTGTACAACCCCGCTTGTTTCTTCCGGACCAGTCCCGGGGCATCCGCCTCTCAACGTCTCTGTCACTAAGATTCGGTATCGTGAAATTTGGATCTAAATTCCCATATACCATTTACTGATGATTTTTGTCGCCACACACCAGGAGAAACAATGTACATTTATAGTGGATAACAACAACGTGATTCCTGCTAAAACTCAACCTCGACTAGGAGTGCTAGTAGCTTGCTCAGATCTACACATCTCGTTCAGAAAATTACCGATCTTGAGAACCTTGAACCTACACACTTACTGTACACACGCAGGTCATAAGCCGGCGCTTACTCCGAAATGTAAGCCAACAAAGTCTTTCCCACTCTTTCAAGTAAACGTGGAATGAGCGCAACACTCTGTATATAAATACAGTTGTAATTCCCAAGTTGGATGGCATCACCACACTTTCTTCCTCACATCCACCAATACCAATCACCACTCGGTTCCAAGAAAAGAAAAAATGGCTCCCCTTATGTCCTACATCCTGGCCCTCGGTGCCCTGGCCAGCACCGCCCTAGCCACACCTACCTACCCTGCCGAGCCAGTCAAGTACCAAAACAACACTCTGTACACCTACAGGGAGCAAGGCTGCACGGGCCACTCCTTCAGGTTCGTCGACTTCCAGCCCAACGTATGCGCCGTCACCATCACCCGCCCCGGCCTCAACATCAGCGAAGCCATCGCCGCCAAACTCACGCTCGTCAAGTCCGGTCGCCTCGTGCGCACCGAAGTCGGGTACACGAACCCCACCTTCGTCGCGTGGAACGAGGGCCCAGCGAGCAACTCGGATGGACCCCTTCAGTGCGGCACGGTTCGCGATTCCGAGGTCGTCAAGGGCAACACGCTGTGCCTTAGCACTCCTGACAACGAAAACGACCACGGTTACAGCTACTTCCGTGACGATAGCACGGATAGTTCGTCTGGCGTGCAGAAGAGGGATGCGCCCCGCTGCACTGGCGAGCAGTACCCTGACTCTGTCATTATTGCTGGAGTTGTTTACACCCTTGTCGGTGTTCCTGCGGATGTTGTCATTGAGCTCATAGTTGCAGTTATCGACGGCGCGGTTTCCGTTAGGGCTGAGCTTGATATTTACATCATCAGTTAGCTTGGTGACAAGTGAGGGCCACTCTAGCTCTACATCGTAGAGTCTTGGTGTGCCTTTTTCTTTTGCCGGAGCCGGAAATATGTTAGTCAGGGATAATACGGAAAGGGTGTATATATAATTTATTCATTCTTCAGGTCGCGATGTCGTAATCGGCGCGTGATTTGGTATTAAATATTTACAATTGACATTAGCTCTAACATGCTCAGTTGGCGTGACATTGCATACCACGTGATAACACATTCCATGCAATCAAACCAACAATATGTAACTCTCGGAGTAATCGAGTGATATTAAATTGGGATTCGAACGGACAAGGCACTTCGCCCAGTGTAAGCTGTCTATATCCTCAGCTTACATGTCTTACTTCTTGAAACCCCCTTATCACTCTCACTCGTCGCCGTCAATGTAACAGTCGCCTCATTCGAGGCCCTACTCTCCCTTCCAACCGCCACCTTAACCGTCTTCTGCTTCCCAGCGCCCGCATAAACAAGCGCATTTGGCAACGCGACCTTCCAGCCCTCGCCTTCGACCTTAGCTTCCAAGCGATAGATATCGGAGCCAAGGTAAGCAGAGAGATCTTGGGGGTGAGGATTAGTGCTGAGTTGAGCGGCTTTTCCCGTGTTCTTCAGCTCGAAGGTGCAATACATGGCGTTTTCATCACTCAGGGACGGGCCGTCTTGCGCTACCTTGCCAGATCCGAGCTCGATGCCGTGTTTGGTAGATGTGGTGGCGTTGGCGGTGGCGGTGGATGCTACACCGACAGTATAATGTAAGACACCAGCCTCATCACGTAGCTTCTCAAGGATGTAGAAGTGCAGACCATTGGGCTCGTCGATGTATTCGTATTCCGAGCCGGAATTTGTGCCGGCGTGGAAGAGCGCGTCTACGAGTTGTCGGTAGTCGCCGATGGTCCAGTACCGAGCCGTGCCGTTTGGAAGGTAGAAATCAATCTGGCGGGCATCTTGAGGGTTTGCGTCAATGACCCATTGGAAGGGTTGCACACGGTCGCTGTTCTTGGTTTTGCTAATCATTACGCCAGAATCGGGGCAGAAGGAATCAGCACCCATGCGGTCAACAACTTCGACGTTGTAGTTGTTGTAGCGGCGGCCATCGCAGAGTGGGTCAACAGTGACGTTGCATGGTGGTGCAAGGTCGCCTGCGGAACCAAAGGTAATGTTAAAACCCATGAGGCTGCCAACTGGATCGACTGATCTAGCTGTGAGCTGAGCGATCACTGGACCAGAAGCAGCAAGGCCAGACCGGGATATTTGCAAGATAGGAGTGTTGTCGATGAGGCCAATCTGGTGCTTGTCGCGCATCGTATGTAGAGAACCCATAGAGGCACCTTGGACAGGTGGGATTTGCCAACGTGTGTGTGGACCTCCAGGACCGTTGAAGCTACCACGAGACAACATACTCCAAGGGCCGGTATAGGTACGTCTAGCGGGGTTGCTGAATGGGTTGTTGTAGTTGTCACCAATACCAAGCAGATGCGACAACTCGTGAGCAAACGTAGCCATGCCACTCGACTCTCCCTGCGTAGACGAGCCACCACCTGCGTTGGGCCAGATCGTGGAGGCTGCAGCCCACGAAGACCACTCGACATAGCGAGTACTTGCCCAGTTGGGGAGTGAAGAGTTGCCTGGGGGCCCAAACTCGGGGGGTACGTCTTCTTTGGAGAGGAACTTCATTTCACCGAATTCCTGCCATGTAGACGACTCATCCTGGCCCGCAGAGAGGATGAAAGCCAATTCGAATGCGTCTGCGGTTTCGTTGCCAACTTCCGCTCGCCATGCCCCGAGAGCATCAGTGCGCAGGTCGACTGAACACGGAGGACCTTCTGGACAAGCACCTTCATTGAAGCCGCCCTCCTCATCGTCGATTCCGTACTGGTAGCTACGCGAGGGCATGCGATACGGGCCGAATACGGTCAGGTCGACTCCATATTTTCCAAATGAGTCGCCCATCCAGTACTCGTGCAGCGTATGACCCTGGTTGATCTCGCTTGGAACGTTGAGAAGATCGTGGTAGAATTTGGGTACATCGTCACGACTCAGGCCAGCAGCAAGCGGTTGTGGGTTACCGAAGATATCAGAGTTGGCCCGGAGAGTAACCACAAAAGGCGAATCCGGATAGTCGACTGTTATCATGGCGATGTTGAAGTTCCTGTCCCTACCCTTGCGCGATGGGTCTGCCCAATTAGTTTTCGGTGGTTCAACGTAGTCTATTGTATGATCAGCACATAGAACATAGCTCCTCTAACAAAGATCGTTTGCCTACCATCCCAAGTCATATTATCCGGGTTTACCCAGTTCTGAGGATCAATAGGCGTAAACGGATCCGAAGATGGGCTTTGGCGAGGAAGAACGGCAGCAGAGGCAAGCCTGAGCATTGCACTCCCGAGTACCACCATGGCGGCACCCGATGACTGCTTCTTGTCTACCATTGAGCTTTCAGCGACCCCGGTTGAGGTCAAGAAGGCTTCTGGTCTAAGCAAGTAGAAGAGTGAAGCAAGACGCAAATCCAGCCAAAGTGTAGGCGGCGGGTGACTTTTGTACCGTCACAGCAGCATCTGGACATGCATACATTGTCCATAACCGACCCATTGCAATAAAAACCCGCATCATATCATGCTGATAGCCGCGTAGTTCAAGGCAAAGCCGGTCGATATACGGTTCGTCGGTATATCCGGCTGCCTCTTGAGGTTAGTTGCGTTCCATCGGTTGGCTTGGCAGACAAGCACCTGCTTGTTGGGGGTCGAGAATAGTGGATCCCAGTCGCACGCATTGTTGATCAACGTATAGTGGCACCGGGACGCCACAAGCTTCTCTGGCAGATGCTTGTAGTTGACATCATACATGGCGAAAAGGAAAAGGTAGAAGGTATAGCATACTATCACTCACGAGAAATAAACCCTCAAGACCCAACGAGTATTCAACAGTCTCAACGAGACGAGGGCGATAGTCTTTCCCTGTCTATACACATTTCACACCGCTGGTGCGAACCAGAGAGGGTACGGGCCAGGAAATCTTCGGCTTGAGACAAAAGAAACAAAGGAGATCGCCGTGCCGCAATCGTGTTTCTACCCTCCCAAGTCCCGGCTTACTGATATCATGCATAGTGAATGTTTTGGTGGTAAACCCAGTATTGCCAGCTACAGTGTACAGAGTAGATAGATTCAAGTACTAGCATATCTGCAAGCTAGACTACGCTTTTGGCATAAACTCCGGATTTGTTCGTCCTTGACAAGGAGAGTACCGTAGAGACGAACTCGTAGAATAATAAAGAAAAATGTCCGCAAACGCCGCTGTATGCAATGAAAGCCAGGTAAGACGGTCCAGTAAACAAAGATTGACAAGTCATCGAAAGCGCATCAAGACATGTGTCCTACTCATCCTGCTTGATTTCAAGCTTGGTCTTCTTAGGACTACCACTCTGGTCATCCTCAGCCTTGCGCTTGTTGGAGGAAGCGGCAATCTCGGCCTCAGTGCGCGAGTCCTTGACAACGGGGACGCCGTGAGCATCGCGCTCAATCTCCTTCTTCTCCTCCTTGGTGTTGGCACGGTCGTCCTTGCCGTTCTTGAAACGATCGCGACGCTTGTTCCAGTCACCACTGTCGACGGAGTCGTTGGAAGCGCTGCGGTCACGACGCCTGCGAGGAGAACGATCGCGGCGGTTGTCGCGACGATCACTGCCACCTCGGCCACCACGTCCTCCACGGTTGGATCCGCGACCACGGCCTCCGCCACGACGGTCGTTACCTCGGTTGCTGCTGAAGTTACCGTTGGCCTCGCGCGCCTTTTTACGCTTCTCGTACTTCTCCTGCTCGGTGAGTTCCCAATCTGGCTTGATTCCCTTCTCCTCGCATTTCATCATGATGTACTCCTTCTTGCCCATAGTGGTGAGCTCGTTGCCATTGAACTTGGGCTTGGGGTCGAGAGCGAGGAACTGCTGCTGAGAGTCCTTGGAGTCGAACTCGACAAAGACACTACCCTTCCAGGCACCCTCGTCATCGCGGCGCTTGCGGACCATAACAGAGCCAAAGGGACGGAAGAACTGCTCGAGCGCAATCTGGCCAGCCTCCTCAGAAGCACCAAATCCTTTGACGTAGGCGCTTGTCTCCATGGTGTTGGATGAGCTGCTCCTTAGGCGGTAGAAGAGCTCTTCTGTGGTGGGGGGTTTCTCGTCGTCGCCCTCCTTAGCTGGGACGACTAGTGGCTCTTTGCGCTTGACAGCCTCGCTACCCGGCTTGCTGTACTCGCCATCATCGACAACAACAAGATCGCTGCTGTGACGGAGGGCTTCTACGACAGCGGAGTAGGGCTTGAAGCGACGCATGCGCTTGAAGGTGCAAATGTGGTGGATCGAGACAGGCTTGTTCTTGGGGCCCTCGAGCTCCTTGAACATGTGCTCATCGGTCGCCAGGTTCTGCGCAGAGAAGTAGAACTCGATCTGGGCGCGGTTAGTAAGCGAGACCAAGGGTGGAAAGACGGGAGTCATACTTGAGCGCGGATCTCAGCTGGATCGTCGGACTCTGGGAGGTTGTCAAACTCTTGGTTTTGCCTGTGCAAAGAGTCAGCTACTGCAAGCATCAATCGAAAGACGGGACTCTGGGCGTACTTCTTGCTACGGCCGTTGCCTTTGCTGCCACCGCGACCGCCTCGTCCACCACGGTTGTCGCGACCGTTGCGACCGTTGCGGTCTTCGCGGTCGTTGCGGTGAGCGCTCTTTTCGCCGGACTTTCCGTTGAGCTCCCATTTCTCCTCACCGTCGGCGGCTTTGGTGTCAGGCTTAGTCTCGGTCTTGGAGTCAGACTCGACCTGAAGCGCCTTCTCAGCCTGTGAGGTTTCGGCGGGGTTGGAGGCCGCCGCAGCAGCGATTTCGGTGTCGGCCATTTTTAAAACGGTTGCAGCGTGAGTCGCGTAGTTACTAGGGAGCTGCTGCGGTAGTTTTTATGTTTGTATAACGAAAATGAAGGGTGGGTGAGAAGAAAAGGTCGAGGATGGGCGAAGAGCTATGGTTCTGCTAGTGGGGAAATTTCAATACTAGTACCAGGGTCCATAGGCGCCAAGTCTCACTCACTGCGGAATTGTTGCACGCCCGCTAATAATACCAGTCGACGTACGCCCTTTGGGAGCAGCGACAATACGCCGCCCCAATTGACTCACCCCCGCCGTCACCATGCCGCGCAAGAAGCCGAGGTTCCATTCACTCAAGAAGCTCGTATGCATCCCGTTGCCTGCCGTCAATAGGGCGTCCCGGTCGCTAACCCACTGCAGAATGTTCGCCAGAATTGGTCGCGCTGGTCTCTATACGCCCTTTCCCAGCTCAAGGCACCCAATGTTACCACACGCACATATTTCCAGCAAAAATGGACGGCAAAGGCGTCGACACGAGCGTACCACGGCGAGCACATACGAGAGAAGAAGTGGAAGCACATGTTCAAGCGAAATCTCCCCGCCGTAGTGCCCATGGACCACCAATATCTCGCTCGCCACGATGGTTCTGAGCAGGCGGCGGGACGAGGCATGGGCGCTGATGTGAATGACAAGACGAAGACGCCCCCGATGACGCCATACATGCAAATGGCCTACTATCCGCTGGAGCGGCGGCTAGATACTGCCATTTTCAGGGCTCTATTCGCAAGCAGTGTGCGGCAGGCCAGGCAGTTTGTCGTCCATGGTCTGGTCAAGGTCAATGGCAAGAAGGTGCGTCTGGCAGTGTCTACATGACCAAGCATCCAAACCCAGACTGACTCCAATCTCCAGATGGTATACCCAAGCTACGCACTCAACCCAGGCGACATGTTCCAAGTCGAGCCCTCATCCGTCATGTTTGCAACCGGAGCGCCCAAGACCCGCTCATCGACCGCCCGCCGCGTGACTAAGGAGAAAGCCGCTGCCCGCGCCCAAGAACGCGAGCAGAGCGGTGGCCAAACCCCCAAGCAATCAAACGACGCCGACATAGTCATCTCGCAATCCTCGCGCGAAGAACCGACTCCCACAGAACTCAAGAAGCAGCTGCAGGACCTGATGGAGCAAGTCGATGGCGTCCTCGCCGAAGACGTCAAAGCAAAAGACAAGCAAAAATTCCGTGCCCTCCGCTCAAGTATACGGAAAGCCATTAGCCTATGGCGCTCCGCAAACCCAGAAACAATCTCAACCCTCGATGCCCAATTCGACTTCCTCAAGACGCAAATCGCCGAGCGCAACGCCGCCATGTCTTCCATGTCCTCGTCCAAAGACTCGGCTGCAGAACCCCTCATTTCCGAGGAAGACCAAGCGCGCCTTCGATCTGCGTTTGAGAAGCTAAGGCTGGAAACTGAACATACTTCAGCGTGGAACAAGCGAGATGCCCAGGCACCGTATGCGACGCCCTGGCGGCCAAGGGATTACATGAGCGCTTTTGCATTTATCCCCCGCTACCTCGAAGTCAATCAAAACATCTGTGCAGCTGTGTACCTGAGGCATCCTGTCGCGAGACCCGGACTGGCAGAGGTTCCGACACCGTTCCATATCGAGACGGGCCAGTTGGCATTCAACTGGTACCTGCGCAACCGCTAAAGCAAAATCATAGATCATGAGAGAGGGCGTCTGTATAACTGTAGATAAATCCGCTGCTAGCGGTGTCAATTGCATTGTATAACATTGTCTTGAACAACAACAACAACAAAAATATTTGACTAGATATATGACGGACCTGCTGTGTATATGCAACAGAGATCTTTCCTCGTCGAAATTTGCGTCCAAAGAAAAAAAAAGCATGCTGCAATCCTTTGCCAGAATCAACAAAACTCCAACGCTATGATACATGAGGGCAGTAATAATATTAGTGAATAGCGTCCTCGGACTATCCGTTGATACTGTCATGGGGAAGTATCCCCTCCTAGTTGCTTGGCCTTGGAAATGACAGTGTCAAGTGTGCCTTTCGGCGCCATATCTACAAAGCAGGATACGGCTTCAAGGATTGGGGTCCATGCAAGATCCCTTTGTGCTGGTTGCTCGAATTGCAAGGTATGCAGCTCTAATTGTATGTAAACAACAGAGTGTATAGGTGTGAAGCGTCAAGACCGGGATGTGGGAACTGGTATGAATAGCTAAAGACGGGTTGAGGGTGCCCATTGCGGGCCCCAAAGCGCAACGTCTTCAATCATCGTCCGACTCTTCCTCATCCAGAGTATAGATGCTCACAGGGTACCTTAGAGTCTCTGCACTAGGCCTAGGACTCACGTCGACAACACTACTCTCAGGTGTCCAGTGGGAGCTCACTTCAGATGTCGTGGATGCGGCGGCATACTGGTGAAAGCCATTAGCGACAACGTCAGACATGTCTCGGTCAGAATCATAGCCAGGTGGCTCCGTGGGCGTGTCTGAACGATAACTTGGCAGGCTCTCGGTCCGCGACAGTGGTCGCGAAGGTATCTCAGGAAGCGATGTAGGGGGGTATGTGGATGCTGTTGATAGCGGGGAGAAGGGCGCGTGAGTTTGTTCCCGTTGGTAAATGAAAGGAGGGTGGTTGACACTTCTGCCTTCTTCGGCGTCTCGCACAAGATCATTGACAACATCGTGTGCTGCCCTCAATTGCCGGATCTCTTCTTGCATTGCATCTTCAAGCACATTTTCCTGCTCGGAGATGAGGGCCCTCTTCTCTTCATAGTCAGCAATGCGCTCACTGTCCCTCTGTGCCCAGTTACCGCGCCACCACTTGCTCCATGCATGCTGGCGCGCTGCTCGGCGATAGGCACGAGCATTGATGCGTTCTTCCCGGGCAGCAGCACGCTCAGTACGTGTTCGAAGGCTGCTGCATTTATGGCGGATTGCAGTGAAAATACAGCCGCAACAAAGGATGCCAAAGGTGATTTCAATGGCCAAAACGAAGGGTGATTCTTTGGTAGGTCTTGGTGGAAGTTCAACCTAGGACGTGTCAATTTGGATCTTGGACGACGACAAGGGAATGATCAACATACTGCTTCCGCTTTGTACGCTGGAGGGGTCGGTGTGCTGGCCCTCAAGCTATCATCAGAAACCTGTGCTACCTGTGCGACATGATCATGTGCCTGGGGGAAAATGTGCTCCGGACGGCCCATATTGATTGGCTTTTGGCCAGGCTTGTAGCGGATGTACGCTACTCTCCACGCGCCGATAGCCTTGTGAGCAACAGTCTTCAAGATGCAAGAAATGCCGTCACAATTACTCAATTCTTGTGAGACGTTTTGCGCCTCTTCTCTCAACCGCGAATGAATAAGCTTCTTCTGTTTGGTGATGAGCGACTGGAGTACTTCAAGTTCACTTTCAAGCGCTTTTAGTTGGCGAATATCGCCCTCTAAGGACTGAGCTCCAGTAGCGGGAGATGAAACCTCGACGTTGTCAGAGACGACAAGACGCAGAGCCTGGGGCGGTTCGCGCCAAGATTCAGCGACGTCGGTATTGCTGGCAGAAGGGTCTGGGGCAGACTCAAGCCTGAGCAGCGACGGGGGTGAGGTGTGCTGCTTGAAAGAAATGGTAAAACCAGAGGGAGTGTCTAGGGGTTGGCCGTCAATGGCCTTGATGTTAACGGTCAGGACTTGTGCAGCTTCTGTTTCTCTGTGGCCGTGAAGACAGGCCGTCTTCCATTCGAGATCCAAGTCGCGCTGCAAAAAGCGTTCATTCTGCGTGAGGTGGGTGAGGGCCTGGTAGGAGCCCGAGCCCGAGGCAAAGTCTCCGGACCACTCCTGGGGAAGATGTACTCCGTTCAAGGTAACGTTGGAAGAGCCGCAGGCGTCATCTTGGGCATGGCTGGTGAAGCTCAGGATCTGGGGGGGCGCGGGTCAGCAGGTGGGACGGTGGTGTTTAGTTGCCTGAAGTGGACCTTACTAGAGACTCGTCATTCTGGTCCGTGTGAGCCGGGCCAAGACAGCCAATACATGGAACGCTGAAGGTTGCTTGCGCGTAATTGTGCTGCACGTCTGCAAGTAGTAACACCTGGTCAGCAGCTGCCTAGACATGGCAAAAGGCGGATGGCTATGTCTGTCGTAGTATAAGAGAGGGGCATACCGAGATGCAGCAGGTCCTCTGCTCGAGCAGCTCGACCCTGGGAATGAGGTAGGACGGCGGCGAGCACAGGAGCCGCCCACGCACACGCTGTAAGCACCTTTGACCTGAACCAAGGCATCACGATCGGACGGCCGAGACAACTACGGCCAGAGAAGGGGACAGGAGAACTAAAGAGCGAGGCCCGGACGATGGGACAGTTGGTCCCAAGAGTGTCCAGAGAATCAGGCACCAGTCGCTACCGTCAGCACTGGCGTGGCTTAGACGTCTGAGACGACTGCGTGCCATTCAGCCACGGTTTGAGGCGTCCAGCGCGTCACGTGCTCGTGGCTGTTCCGCCAAGCCCCCGATCCACGCTTGGGCCAGCATCATCGTGCAGTCAGTCGAGGGCCGTGATATTCGCCGCCTGCTCCCACTTTGACAACGCGTATACATCAATTGAATCGCCCAGCGCCATGGTATGTCCCTTCAAGAGTCGCGCTGCCTTCTCTCGCAACTTGGCTGACTCGCATGCCAGCTTCCCTTGGGCCTTCTCACGGCCGCGACCGGCCACCCAATGCTCGTTGAGCTCAAGAGCGGCGAGACACTCAATGGGCTCCTGGTCAACTGCGACACTTGGATGAACCTTACCCTGCGAGAGGTCGTACAAACAAGCGCAGATGGCGACAAGTTCATGAGGCTGCCAGAGATCTATGTTCGCGGTAGCACAGCACGTCTACCACCCCCCTTCGAAGCCAGCGCAAAACTAACATGGACCAAGATAAAATACCTACGAGTACCTGACGAGATTGTCGAAATTGTAAAGGAGCAACAGGCCAAGGACCAAGCGAATCGGGGCGGACGAGGAGGTGGCATGCATGGGCGAGGAGACCACCGCGGCGATCGTGGCGGGGGAGGTAGGGGGACGAGGGGCAGAGGACGCGGTCGTGGCAGAGGCGGTGGTGGTGGTGGAGGAGGAGGTGGTGGCGGCGGTGGTGGTGCTTGAACGGCCTCATGTCCATCTGGCTGCTTCGCCCGATGGTACATGCCATGCATAGACCCACCGACCGGTCGACCCAGGGCGACGTTGATACGGTGATATTCGGGTACAGCATTGCAGGACTTTAATGGCAGTCGTTGTCGACTAGCTTGTCTTGCCGGGCGCATTAGCACTTGGTTACATCACGAGATACCCTGATTGTCAACTTCTACACGAGCACTGTTGTTGGCCTTGTAGAATCGCACATCAAGCCTCAAGCCTTGCTGCTCCTTTTCGTAGCTGTAGCAGTCTACCAACTAGCCCCGACATATTGTCAGCCATGCGAGCTCCTATCGCCGCAGCAAGTATTCACCATGTCCACCATCCATGTGCTTCTTGTGTCTCGTGAGATGTCTCGCGAAGCAACTCAAGCGTGTGCACTTATAGTTCTGTGCCGTCTTGGCGCGGAGCTTCATCTTCCTCGACCGTGCTCGACTTGCAATTTTGGGATTGTTGCTCTCATATATATGGCTCAGGTTTAACATGTGCTGGGGCGAAAGTAAAGAATATCCAAAATCCAACAACCCCTTCATAAGAAGTCAACTCGTTTTACAATTGAAGGTACCACAGGCCAAGTAAGGGCCCAGAATTTGTTGTAGAGATTAAGTGTATTCGTATCAAACCTTAATACTAGAGCCCAAGTCAACATTCTTCCCCTCGCCAGCAATTTGATTAACAACACGAGAATGCTGACTTGGTTGACATAGCTAGGTTAAGAGGAAATTTGCTTTCTGCATCGTACCCGCTGACGTGAGGTAGGAAAAGGCATTCTGTGGCACGTAGACATGTTGCGCTAGGAGGAATGACTGGCGGCGGCAGATTTCCTGTCAATTCGGGACGATCTGTCGGTACGTCCCGGGAGGAGTGCATTCCCTACATAGACTAACCTGAGACGCTTCTCGCCATGTGGGCCATCTGTGTGTTACTTGCAGTGACTACGCGTGCGATGATGAGTCTGTTGGTTTTGTAGAAAGATTGGAAAGGGGTGTATGCATTGTGCCCAATCATAAAAAGAGTAGTAATAAGAACGATGCTAATATCCACACATGTGGCCGGCAGTTACCTCAGAGCCCGTGCTTTCACATGAATCGTACAAGCTATACAGAAATCACAATCACCTCGGCTGCTTAGCAATATTTCAACAAGCACTTGTAGTAAGTAAGATATTCTTCTTAGTCAATACTCAGCTGTAGCATTTTAGATATTTCCCCTTGTGGGTAGCCCTTCTCCATGGAATGCATTACGACAACATGTCAAACCGTCTCTTATCGTCCGGCCCATGTCGAAGCGCTAGTCATCCAGCTGGAATAAAGGATGGCTTTTCCACACAGACTCAACGCCAAATCTTGGCTGATCGGACCAACGCATGGAGCTTCCACATCTCCACTGGCTCCTTGTTCTCCAGAACCAAGACTCGGTGGCGTTGCGGGGTACGTATGTACGGGAAGCAATGTCGGGAGGGAACCGGACGAAGAGATTTACTGCGTGAACAAGTGGAGAAGAAAGGCTTCAGTTCAGATTCCGACCTTACTACCCGGTGACAGGCTTGGACTGGGTTTCTTGACAGCGGTTGACCTAGACCCCCCGTCGATCTTAGTTAGTTCTGGGGGAGGTTCCGCGTATTGGCCAGGTGGGCCGATTAGCGTTACGCTCGACCCGAAAGGGGTTTAGCCTCCCCCAGCTGTGGCTCTTGGCGTCCCACCCCGCCAGCCTGACAGGGGATGTTCGCTGACAGGACGGTGAGATTGGGCAGAGGGCCCGGGAGTGCTGGATTCAAACTATAAAGCGCAATTGCGGCATTGCGACCTGCCATGGGCCGCGGCAGATAAGGTCTTTTGTCTCTTTCTCACTTACTTTCTGCGACAAACCTCTCTGCCTTCCACCATGGCTCATGCTCAGGCCGACTACGTGCCTGAAAAGTACGAGGCTGGCCAGTACTCGCCCAGCCAGCAAGAAGACCTCAAGTCTGAACTTCCGCACGAAGTGGCTGCTTATGGCCATGCTACCACGGACGCGTAGGTGCCCAAATCGCTGTACCCCCAGGTTGCGCGTATTTTGTTTTCTAATGAGTAATCTAGCTATGGAGAGCCCACAATCACCTTTGACAAGAAGGCTGAAGCGCGGCTGAAACTCAAGATCGATCTGTACATCATTCCCACAGTCGCTCTTCTCTACCTATTCTGCTTCATCGACCGAGCAAATATTGGAAATGCACGTCTGGCCGGTCTGGAAAAGGATCTCCATCTCAAGGGACACGATTACAACTCTGTCTTGTCCGTTTTTTATATCAGCTACATTATTTTCGAAATTCCGTCGAATATGGCTTGCAAATGGATGGGTCCCGGGTGGTGTGCGTATTACCTCTACAACTCTGCATTGGGCGCAAAACACTTACAACTCCGATTGTAGTTATTCCTATCATCTCGCTGTGCTTTGGCGCAGTCTCCATAGCCACGGCTTTTGTCCATACCCAAGCCCAAGTATCAGGCGTCCGGTTCGTGCTGGGCATGTTTGAAGCTGGAATGTGAGTAACTCTTGTGGCTCTGTTGAGATGTCAGCTTATGAAGTTTCTCTAGGTTGCCTGGTATTGCATACTATCTATCGCGATGGTATCGCCGCTCTGAACTTGCATTCAGGCTGTCCCTTTACATCGTCATGGCTCCCCTTGCTGGCGCGTTTGGCGGTCTCCTCGCATCGGCCATTCTGACCCTGGATAAATTTGGATCTCTCACACGATGGCGAATGATCTTCGCCATTGAGGGAATCGTTACGTGTGGACTTGCAATCATTTCCTTTTTCACGCTTACAGACCGACCCGAAACCGCGCGCTGGTTGACACCGGAAGAGAAGGAATTGGCAATTGCCCGTGTCAAGTCTGAGCGTTTGGGTCAAAAAGAGGTGCTTGACAAGGTGGATAAGAAGAAGTTTATGCGTGGAATCTTTAATCCTGTGGTGTTGACCACAGCCTTCATCTTCCTACTGGACAACATCACTGTGCAAGGCCTGGCTTTCTTTGCGCCCACTATTGTCCGCACAATCTATCCAAAGAAGACGGTTGTCTCGCAGCAGCTCCACACGGTCCCACCTTATATTGTGGGAGCATTCTTCACGGTTCTCTTACCATTCCTCAGCGGGCGATTCGACAGGCGTATGATCTTCTTCATCATTGGAGCGCCTTTCATGATGGTGGGCTATATCATGTTCTTGGCAAGCGAAGATGGTCAAGTACGCTACGGAGCTACCTTCTTGATCGCTTCAGGAGCATTCTCTTTTGGCGCGCTGTGCAATGCGCAAGCTTCGGCCAACGTTGTGTCTGACACGGCAAGGGCGTCTGCCATTGGTGAGTTACTCGAATCATGAATTAAATACGGAATCACTGCTAACATGTATTCCCAGGTACTGTGGTTATGCTTGGCAATATCGGCGGACTGATTTCGACATGGAGTTTTCTGCCGACCGATGCGCCAAATTATCCCATTGGCAACGGGCTTAATCTAGCCACCAGCAGCGTGATTCTGATTTCGAGTATTGTACTTCTATTCTGGATGAAGCAGAGCAACAGCAAGCGGCAGAATGTGGATGCCGAAGTGGAATTGGCAGGCAAATCCCAAGAGGAAATAGAGGACCTAGATTGGAGACATCCATCTTTCCGATGGAAGGCTTAAGCGTGTCATGGGTTTGGTCAGGGTATTTTATGCGCAAGGCAGGATATGATCACTCGATAAACTTGCGTAGTATAATACGAAGAGAAAAAAAAGTAAACGTGCACCCGTCGTGGCCATGAAGTTGGTACATAGTTCCTGATGACCGAACAAAGTCCGCGACTGATAAGCGTTCCCCCCGCACAGTGGAGAACCCCTGCAAGCCGCGTCGACCTCGGTTCGATCCTCACTTGTCGTGTATGGCTGAGTCGCATGTCGACATGACAAAATAAGCGGATCGCCCCGTCCAGTTCCAAGCTTTGTATTGTATCTTTTGTGATTGCCATTGCTTGAATTGTCTTCTTTCTTTTGCACCTCTGGGTCACAAGTTAGAGAACATGCCTTCGGCCATTGTGATTAAGCAGGTTCCAGGCAAGCTAGGACAGGTCTACTACCCGCTAGAAAAGATCATTGTGCCTGAGTCCACGCCCAAGGAAAATGAGGTAATGGCTCTCCGCCTGTACATTTGCCCATCACACCAGCTAACTCTCTCCTACCTCAGGCCGTCATAACCCTCACAGCAGCCGCCCTCAACCACCGCGACCTCTTTATCCGCCAACACCTCTACCCCGGCACCACCTTTGGCGTACCTCTTCTTGCAGATGGTGTCGGCATCGTCAAAAGCACAGGCTCTTCGGCGACAGCCAAGCCATGGCTCAACAAGCGCGTCATACTGAACCCCGGCACAGGCTGGAAGGACAGCCTCGACGGGCCAGAGCACCCAAAGGGGTACTCGATCATGGGCGGAACCAAGACCAATCCCGTGGGCACACTCCAAGACGAGTGCGTGCTCGACGCAGGGGAACTAGAAGAATGCCCCGAGCACCTGAGTGACGAAGAGGCTGCTGCGCTTCCCCTCACAGGATTGACCGCATGGCGCGCATTCCACGTCAAGAGCGGCAATGCCGTTGCTGGCAGGAACATTTTGGTCACGGGCATTGGCGGCGGCGTCGCCCTCATGGTGCTGTCTTTTGCCGTCGCCCGTGGATGCAACGTCTACGTCACCAGCGGGAACCAAGACAAGATCGACAAGGCTGTCAAGTTGGGCGCAAAGGGCGGTGTTATTTACAAGGAGAAAGATTGGGACAAGAAGCTGCAGGCTATACTGCCAAAGGATAGGCCGTATCTTGATGCTATTGTCGATGGTGCTGGCGGCGATGTTATCAAGGTTGGAAGCAAGCTTCTCAAGGTCCGTTGCCATCTACTTTGCATGTTTCATTTGTTCTACAGACTGACGAATCTGTTTCTAGGTTGGCGGTGTTATCTCTGTCTACGGCATGACCGTCTCTCCCAAGATGGACTTCCTCATGTCCGCCGTGCTGCGCAACATTGAAGTTCGTGGCTCTACTATGGGCTCGCGCAAAGAGTTTGCAGAAATGGTCCAATTTGTTCGTGACACAAAGATGAAGCCAGTCGTAAGTCGTAGTGTGCACGGATTGGATATCGAGAAGATCGACACGCTCTTTGAGGATATGAAGAACGCCAGCCAGTTTGGAAAGTTGGTTATTACTCTTGGGAACGAGAAAGCAAGTAAGTTGTGAGGGGTGTAGTAGAATCGAAAAATCCAATCCTTGTCCCCAGCCGTACCGGTGTTGTCCAACAGGAGGGCTAGCAGGATGGTTTCATGCTAAGCAGATCTATTTTAAGTTGTGGCTCTGGCTCTGTTTTCTTTTTTTGAAGCCATGACAACCGCCATCACATCCTCCGAATTTCCCCCACATGTGTCAAAGTTTATTTGGAATACATCCACCATTCCCTCACACTATGCACGGGAGATGTCACATGCACTTACCCAGCCATGTGGCGCGGAACAATTGAAAATGACCCGGTAGGGCCGTACATATGACAATTTGGTACAGCTAACCTTGACACATGCTCAGACCACAATGATGGATTCATATATCTCTGCACCGACTGCGACAAGGCCATGGCTTCTGCTGGCTTCATGGCGTGATGCAAAATAAGGTTGGACAGTGAACCGTGGGAAAAGTACATCTCGCGGGAGGAACAGGATGCGACTCTCTGGGAAACAGCATGTGGCACTTTTGCATCTACATGCGAAACGGAAAAGAAGTGGATCAGCAAATACCCGCGTTTCTCCACACGCTTCCCGAGGAGGATGGATCCCCACACCTGCAGATACCACCCGACATTGCCGATAGGCGGTTGTGGAACCATCTGAGCCAGAAACAGCTGTCAAGCTGTAAGCCAAGCCAGTACTGTACTGTACACATCTGCATCTACTATCTCAGTCCATATACTAAACCTAAACCCACTAGGAACCACGCCTACCAACACTCAAGCCGATAATCTACAGCTGGGTCCAGCAGCCGACGCAGGAACAGTAAACAACCGACATGATGACGGAATCTTGGTTCAACCCACATCTCTCAACAGATGAAGCACGAGCAAAACGCGCAACGCACGTTTTCATGCCCCAAAAACAAGGGTAGCAACGGGGGTGACCCAAAGAACCAAGTCCAGCCCTCTCCTCGGAGCGCTTTGCACATACTCTCTTTCTCTCTCTCTTTTCAAAAACAACCTATCGTCCACAGTTAACCACTTTTGTTTCAAGTCAAGTTTTTTTCTTCTTCATCAGCCAGTAGGTAGCGCGCTTCGAGTCTTCGTTCGTCCTTGTCTACACGGCTACACGCAGAATATCCCGTGATACATTGATACACGCGCTCTCTTGGGGGAATTCGGGGGGTTTTTGCATGCGTGTTGTTATTGCTGCTACCACCGTGTGTATGAGTGTATGCAAAGTAGTCAACCATGAAGTTCAACCTAGCAGCAAGCGTAAAGCACGTCACACGAGTCCTCAACCCCGATCTCGAAATCCCAGACAGCAGCGGTGGTAAAAGTAGCACTGCTCCTCCGCCTGGTGCTACTCGAACCCCATCTTCTTCATCCTCCTCCTCGCCACCTCCGTCCTCCGTTTCGTCATCTCCACCAGCAGCAGTAGCACCACCACCACCACCATCCGTCCCATCATCCCACAATGGAACCAAACACTCCTCAAAGCGCTCCTCCCTCTCCGTCCGCAGATTAAGCAGAAAATCCGCTCCAGTCTGCACACCACAAGCGCCTCCACCAAAACCACCACTATCAACATCAACTCTCGAAGCCAAAACCACCCTCCCCGCCGCCTTCAAAAGAGACTATTCTGCAACAGCAACTCAAGATCCAACACTGCGATCCTACCCACCTCCTATATCCTCCACACGCCGCTCCCGCGCCAGCACTATAACCGCTACATCGGGACGAAGTACGTACCGCAGTAAACTGGATCCCGCCGCCACCGCCGAAACAACGACTGCTATATCGTATCTCGGGCTCCAGAGCCTCACATCTCCCTCGCACACCTCAAGCGTACCTCCAGCAGCGCCAGCGCAACAAGGAACAGCAACATGTCTCTGCGGCGCAGTGCACCTCGCTTTTCCCATCACTACACCCGGTCTCGTAGCATCCTTTGTATGTTACTGCCTTGACTGCCGAAAAGGAGGGGCTGAGGCTAGTATTGTTGTTAAAGATGAGTACGTCTCCCCTTTTTCCCCCTTCCTATACCTACCCCAAAGGAATATGAAGCACTGACAATGACAACGACAAACCCCCCCCCCCCCCAAAAAAAAACAACCTTGAAAAGTCCTACTACTACTAGTTTGCTAACGTTGGGAAATAAAGCCACCTCAAATACCTCCGCGGCTCCTCAAACCTCGCCTCCTTCTCTCAACCCGCGTCTACGCCCTCCAGCCACACCTCCACCACCTTCTTCTGCCACACCTGCGGCTCAAACATGTACAGAGTCGGCGCTGCGTTCCCCGGCTGCACAATCATTCGCATGGGTACCGTGGATGATGCGCGGCTCATCGAGGGTAGGTTGAGGCCCACGCGCGAGTTGTGTGTCAAGGAGAAGGCGAGTTGGGCGGGTGGGGTTAAAGGGGAGGAGGTGAAGAGGAGGGTGGGACTGTTTTCGTAATGAGGTTTATGCGTATGCGATGAGTTTTTTTTCTTTTTAGAGTTTTTGTAATGGGGAGCATGGTTGAACAGGAGTGTGTTTTTTTTAGCGATTTCTTTTATACGAGGTTATCTGAATTATGGGGTCATGGCAATCTTTTCGAATTGAGAGGGGGTGGGGGGAGTCTGGGTGGGATTTCAGTTGCGTCACTGGTGTTTGGATGGGTTAACGGCGATATGCCAGATCTTTTTATGACAGAAGGGGGATAAGGAGCCACTGATCAGCTAGCAAGCAATTCTGCATAGCATTGTTTGTTGAATTTACTAAATGTGTGCCAACTATCTAAGTGGCATCTCCAGTGTCACTAACGTCAATTCATCCCATGCCATACCATGCCATCTCGTAAGATTAAACAAAAACGCCATGCTCATGCAAAGAAGGATTGAAAAACTCGGGAAAAGAGGAGAGAAAGCAACAAACACCGTCGTGTCTCACGACCCAGTATTTGCTTGCATCCATCGATCAACATCATCAGCAACGTCCATGTCCGCATCCGCGCCACCAATCAGCTGGCCATCGTCTTCTTCGTCCTTGATGTCCGCTTCACCAACGGTAGCAGAAGAATCGTCGTCATCTTCAGCCCTGGCCTGAGCTGTACTTACGGTCGTGGTAGAAGGTTCAAGACCACCAAAGGCGTCATTAGGAACCCATGCAAGCTCCAACTTGCCCACGTCAGGAATCTGAAGCGACTGATCGAGAAACATCTCAGCCTGGTAGCGCTCTCTGAATGTAAGGATAAGAGCATCATCTTGCTCTGGATGGCGGTCGATAGACGTGCAATCGGGAACGTTCTATACACCTGATTAGCAGAAGAAAATATATAACACGCATATATCCACTTACCAGAAGATACTGCCTCAAAGCCTCATCTCTCGGAGTGTCAGCTTCAATGCCAGAAACAGCAAGTCGTCTGGGTCTGTTGTCAAGTCTCTTGACGGCACTACGACCCGGAAACGCAGAAGCGACAAAGCCAGACCCGCGACCGTGATACGCGCCTCTATAGGGTGTGAAGCCTCTGCCACGGGGAGGGAAGGGGGCAAAGCCACGGCCTCGATAACCCCCACGGAATCCGCCATAGCCACGGCCACGTCCTGAAGTGTCGCTAGGGTCGTGTTGGTCAAAGAGCTCGGCAGCTTCGGCTTGAAGAGTCTCCAGTGTCTGCGAAAATTCGTCAGCCTTATCGCCCGATAACTCTGCGAGCTGTCGTCTAATTTCCTGCATCTCGTCATTCTTCTCTTTCAACTGGCGCTCAATCTCCGCGGCTCTAGCATCGGCTTCCTCCTCCCTTCGACGACGTTCTTCAAACGCCTTCTGTGCTTCTGCCTGTCTGATTGCAATGGCCTCGAGGTCAAGTTTCTCCTCTTCTGGATGCTCCTCGGGTCGGTACCAATAGACCTTGACGAACCGATTCTCAAAGATGGCTTTTGGGCTACTGTATGCTCGACTCGCAGCAGAATGATCGCCGAACTTGATAATTGCCAGTCGTTTGTCGGCGTGAATGTCTACTTCGTCGATGCTGCCAAACTCCGAAAAGTAGTTTCGTACACTGTCTTCATTGAGATTCTCTGGGGGGATCTGTTCAACCACCAGCATAGTGTTTGACGGATCGCGTGACGGACCGGATTGGGAGAACGGCGCGCGTGGTTTACCGCCCTTAATGGTGCGACGTCGACTCTGTGATGAGGCACGGTTGCGTGTACTTCGATGAAGCTGTACAGCAAGATACGACTGTTCCGGGTCATACTCAGGGATTTCGTTGGCTGGAATGGCAACAGCAGCGTCGCTATGTTCAAAGGGGCAAAGGGTTCCCATAGCGCAAAATCCTTTTTCGTAATAGTTCGTACACAAGCCCTTGGAGCCCTTGGAACCCTTATGACTGGAACTATTGCCTTGGGTATCTGAGGAGAATGGTGGCATGCCAGGTAAATTTGCGCCAAAAGCTGCAGCCATTGCAAAGAAAGCCATAGGATCTGACGGGTCGAACGGAAGAGGTCCTGGTGGGGGCGCTGGAAGATTTGCAAAGTTTGGCATGCGACTTAGATCATACGAAGCGTTGTGTTGAGTGTCTCTAGCTCTTGCGTTTCTACCGCCCCTACGCGATGTCTGCTTCGATGGTCTGTTACCACCGGCCCCGCTGCGATTGTAGTGCGGATCCTGACCCTCCCAAAACTGGCCATTGTCCTCTTCCAACGTCTTGCGTTTCCTTGATCCATCCTGCTGCATGCCCTGCGCGGCCGGCCGGTCGAGTAGACGATGTGGTGTGGGCGGAAATCTAGTCGCGGCTGGACCTCTTGGTGCATTGAATGGTACATTCGAGTGATGGGGTTCATATTCAAGATTCGTACTGCCTACTATGGACTGTATAGGCGCAGAAGGTGGAGCCTTTGGAAGGTAACTCTTGTCGTTCAGCGCCGCGATCACGTCGTTTACGAATGGCTCAGTATCTGTTTCTTGTTAGTCACTCATGTCCTGCGCGACCAGCATGTGCGACATTGTCTGACTGCTGCTTACTATCTTTCCCGAGGAAATCTTCCAATGATTCGATACAACTGCGCCGAACGTTTGCTTCAGTTTCGTCAACGGCAACAAGCGCAGCAACGTAATCGGCAAGAACCCCAGCCTCAGCGTCCGAGCTGTACTCATTGTTAGCACTCCGAATCCACAACCTTCGCGACAGCAACAATCGGCTCTGACTTACATGGTCTCGAGCTTCGGCAGCAACCAGCTTTTGAAAGCAGCCTGATCCTTTTCGTGAAGCAGCATCATGGCTCTAGCTCCAGAATTCCCGTGCTCCTCCGGATTACGCGATTCGGAAGATAGGAATAAGTAAACTTTTGCTGCAAGTTGAGGGTGGATTCCGCAGCACGGGAGTTGAGCCAAGCGCACGTAATTCGCGTTGTTCTTAGCGCGACCAGAGGTCATAGCTTCGCTGACCCGTGAGCACGTGACTATACCTGCCCCTCCACATTCACTGCTTTCACTGCTCTTACCAGCAATATCACTTTCACTGCTCACACACAAGAATATCAGAGCAATGGCAAACAGGTTTTGTGCAACATAGTTTGATTTTCTCCAACTACACGACACCAAGAACAGGTAAGGAAATAATGGGTCATCATCGTATCTTTCGTGCAAACCCGCAAAAACCTGACCGTTATGGGCGAACCGCCCGGACCGACATTTACTAACTCTAACTGCTCTTAAAATAGAGGGGAGCCATTTGCGTCATACATAGACCAGCGGCCACGAGCTTGCCCATGACTGAGGGATGACCCAGGGTTGCGAGGAAAGGAAATCTAGTGCTTTTGACAGCTTTCCTTTATAGCTTGTCGTAGTACTGCGAAATTTGTTAGCATATGCTTGCATGGTGAGATCTGGAGAGAAACTTACGTTGGAGACGTCAGGCACCTCAACCTTGATACCCTTGCGCTTACGCATGTCGGCAACAATCTTACCAACCATGGTGGTGGCGTCAAGTGGCGATCCACCCTGGAGAAGCTGCCAGTGGTCGAAGACTTGTTGAGGGAAGGCCTGTCCACCAGTGGCGGCACGGAGATCGGCAGTGAAACCGAAAGACTCGTTGACGGGGAGGTATGCCTTGACGTTGAACAGAGGAGTACCAACACGCTGGTTCTCCTCGAAAACGTGACCTCTCCTTCGGGTAAGGACACCGTAGATACCACCCATGGCTTGCTCGGGAACCTGGATTTCAACGAGGTAGACGGGCTCGAGCAGGGAAGGCTCGGCAAGGAGAGTGGCGGCGTAAAGGACACGACGCGCGGTAGGGATGATCTGACCACCACCACGGTGAATGGCATCAGCGTGGAGAGTGACATCCTGGATGTTGAAGCGGATGGAACGCATGGGCTCCTCAGCAATGGGACCTTCCTTGGTGGCCCACTGGAAACCAGAGACGACAGAGTCCTTGATTTCGCTCAGGTACTGGACGGCCTTGGTCTGGTCGATGAGCAAGTTGGCACCAGTGGTGTCGGGACCGAAGCACCAAATCTTACGGGCATCGGTGACATCCCAGCCGTACTCGTCAGCCAGGATACGGGCACGAGTCTTGATATCGTCACGAGGAGCGATCTTGCCAGTCTCAATGGCCCTGGAAACCTCCTCGTCCAAAGGCTGAGCAGTGAGGTAGAGACGGTTGTGCTTGTTGGGCGACTTGGACAGAGCAGTGATGCTGGAAGTCGCGTTGACAGTCTCACGGTACTGGACGACGGGGTCGGAAATGCGGAGAGGAACACCAGCGTGGTCCTCCTCGAGATCCTTCAAGCAAATCTCCAAGTGCAGCTCACCGGCACCAGCAACAACGTGCTCACCGGATGGCGAAATGTAGGTCAGAACGCAAGGATCCGACTTGGACAGACGCTTGAGACCTTCAACCAGCTTGGGGAGATCCTGAGCGTTCTTGACCTCGACGGAACGCTGAACGACGGGGGAAACGGAGAACTTCATAACCTTGAGGTTGTGGGCAGTCTCGTTGGTGGTAAGAGTACCAGACTTGAGCAAGAACTGGTCAACACCGACAAGACCGAGAATGTTACCGGCAGGGACATCCTCAATGGGCTCGACGAAACGGCCCATCATGAGAATGGTACGCTGGATAGCCTTGATGAAAAGGTCGTCCTTCTTGCCAGGGGTGTAGTTAGGACCCTGGATACGGACCTTGAGACCAGACTTAACGGTACCAGAGAAGACACGACCGAAAGCGTAGAAACGACCCTTGTCAGAAGTGGGCACCATCTTGGAAACGTACAGCATGAGAGGACCCTTGGGGTCACAGTCACGGATACCAATGGCGTTGACATCGTCGTGGGGACCTTCGTACAGAGTCTCCATGCGGTACCTCTGGGCAGTGACGGGAGAAGGAAGGTGGAGAACCATCATCTCGAGGAGAGCGTCAGCGGCGGGAAGGAACTTCCTCATGACGACCTTGAGGAGAGCCTTGCCCT